TAACCAGTAAACTATTGCTCTTCCTCATTTCAGAACAGAATATAGAAAATGGCAAGAATTAATTGTACAAAACACCCAATTATTAAAGGAAATCTGCACCAGTACATTTTTAGCATGGATATATGCAGCTTTTTACTACAGTCAGCAAATAATCTCCTTTTCTTTTGGCATGCTCCTGGTTCTTTTTCTGGTAGAATGAAGTTGGACAGGGAAAGTTATTCCACAAAGCTTCCTGAGACTTCAAAGCAAGCTAACACACTGTATTGAACTGAAGGCTTTCAAATTAGGCAGCAGCGTGGTTGCCAGGAAAATCAACTTCAACACAGACCATTCTGGCTTAAAAGCTGGGTGTGAGGGCCCGCAGCTCACAAGTGCTCTGCCCAAACATGCTGTGCTCCAAAGCAGGTCTCAATAGCAGATAGATTTCACAAGATGTCTGGCAGATGAGTTCCCACCTTCACAACAGGTGAAGGCCACAACACGCTGGGCTACTAACATAAAACAATCCCCTTGGTAATGAGAAGCATACAGTGCTGTAGCTGTGCACAAGTGCACCCAGCAGTAAGGAATCCCATTTGCAACAAAGAAAACGTTAGCTAAAATCAGTCAGGTTGCTCTCCATCAGCACTGCAGTTCTGTTGTGCTTACTCCCACCCACCACCATCACACGCCATTTGCTCAGCACCGACCCAGGGGGCAAAATGCTATCTCTGAAATCGGTAATATTCCTGCCTGTGCTCCTTTGTTCTTTTGAAGCTTGTCATTTACATTTAAATTCAACCAGGCAATGTTTTGTTTGAGATTTGATGGGAACCCAGGAAAATGCAGCACGATTTACATGTATGAAATGTGCAGGCTTGAAGCAGTGCCTTAAAATTAGAGAGTCCTGGAAGCAATAATTACCACAACCATTCCTTTTGCATTATTTCTATGACAATGCTATTAGGAGAGTTGATACGAAAACATGGAAATGTAATCTCATTAGAGGAGATCAGAAGGTAGCTAAGGACACGAATTTCTGCAATTACATCCTTGAAAAGATGCACAGTGCTACCATTCAAGCCAGTTCATGCCAATTCCGATCAAATGCATGGAATATCAATTAACATCTACATATAACCAGGAAATAAAACACACAAGAAGACTGTTTTAGGAGTGTTTATTTTTTAAGATATGACAATTTTTGCTTTACAAAAACAGCAGTTTGGGCAATGAGCTCCTTTCCCGTTGCTGACATACAGCTGCAGTTCAAGTAAGCTCACAACATTTCTTGAGAACATTAAGATAGTTATTTATAGATCCACATCCAAGTACTAGAAATACTATTTGATAAACCAACTCGTCCTCAAGTTTTAGAAATGTTGTTCTACCAGCAACCAGCAGCCTCTCCTTCCAGCTGGTGTTTCACAACTCCCAGAGCATCCCATTCACTTCTGCAACAGCAGTTACCTGTACCAATCCTTTCCCGTCTGATTCCTGCTCTTATAACCCAACTTTTCCTGGAGCTGAAGGAACAGCCTGAGGTCCTGAACATGCTCTGAGATTAAGCAGAAAGCCCAGTGCCAAGAACTCACAAATTAATGGCATTTGAGCTACATGTTGCTAACTGCGTTAGCATTTCAGTCTCATGGAGAGATTCTTTTTGTTTGCAAAATGATGTTTGCTAGTAAAAGTCAATTCTCTGGATCCATCTAAAACATACTTTTAAGAGGGATCTTTTTTTTATAAAGGAAGTCTCAGCTGACAAACAAATGTCACTGAAACAAAGAGAAAAAGCCTATCCTACCTAACAAGAGATGAGCAAGGATGGCAAAGCTCTTCAGGAGGAGAAAAAAAAACAAATCAAACCAACAAAGTGGTGAAGAGGTGAATATAGACAAAAAAACATTACTTCCATGGACTCTGGGTTCAGATTTTTCACAACACAGAAAGTAGATGATGCATTTAAAATACAGTATGTCAACCACTATGGGGCTAACAGCCATTTGAACATTTGCATTGCATGTGCTCATCATCCAACAAAAAAGAGCAAATGTGTCAGTCTCAAAAGTGGAATTTCTTTGCTTTCCTCAATTTGTCCTTTTTTTTTTTTTTTAATATATGGCAATGGATAGACTATGTGAAGAAAAAAAGAATGCTGGGAAAGTCAGTAATAAAACAGCAGAAGAAAGACCACGTAAATTTCTAAGCAATTATTACATTGTAAAATAGATGTTCCAAGAGCAAGTTTTCAAGTTTCGTTTTGTTCTCTAAGACCAGACATGAAAACTCTATACATACAAAAAATATCAAAAAGAGACATTTCAAAGATGAAAAAAACTAGCTCTTCTTCTGAAATATATCATATCACATAGATTGATAATTAAATACAACGATATTTTAGCTAAGCTAGTTACTAAAACAAGTCATCAGCCATGACAGACTTGAAGTTTTCCGGTTCTCAGCAAGCAGTGATACTTAAACCACAACGCTGTGATCTCCAGCAGCATTCCGTTGAGCGTGGGTCACCAGAACACGATGGCACAAGTCTGCCACCTGCTGAAAAAAGTCAAACCTGCACTAACAGAACAAAAACCAGAGTAGAGGACTTTTTCCTGCAACATTTTCAGCAGAAGGAATCCATCTACACACTATCAAAGTAAAAGTAAAAACTATTTCAGCATGTACATGTTGTTTCACGTCAAATTCGTGCTAATTTTGAATACAAACGTTGTCAAAGAACGGAAGAGGCAAAAAACAACACAAAATACACACAAATAACAGAAAACACAATTTATAAACTTCCTTAGTTTGAAAACAAACTTTCTACCTTCTCAAATGAGCACCTCTATATAACTCTAAGAACTGCCAATTCTGTGTCACATCAAAACAATTCAGTCACACTGTGACTGTTCAGTTCTGTATTTTGATTTATTGAGAAATCCCCTTCCTTCTGCCTCAGAAAAAAAATGAGATTAGTCTTTTTTTAAGACTAATCATGATGTAGTTACAGACACCTCGATTTCTGAAGCTGAATCACATTAACACTGAATATTACTTGTAAAGTCTCTCTGGATCACCAGCAAAAGTTAAAATAGCTTTAACAACAAATTGCTCCTTTCCTGTTTTAATAATTTGTGCATTTTCCCAGTGATAAAAATTTGTTTATCCTTAACAGAAAGCGCTGAGAATAAGTGTACAGTTAAATGAAAATATAAGGACTCTGATAAATCCCATGATAAAATATTATTCCATCTTACAATATTCTTGAAAACAAACTAGTAAAGCAGTTCAGAGACCTCTCTACAGAGTATACTGTGATGTAGAGCTCACCAGAAAGACACTGTGCTCTAACTTTTGGGGGCTTTCTGCATTTGCTTGTCTTTAAAAGAAATGCATACTTGCATTAATAGAGCATGTATTAAAACTCATTTCTTTTCACTTGAAACATGGCATGTCCTAACAGTGCTGATAATCTGGGGCATTCAAATACCAGCATCAATAGTCATCCTGGACAAAATACAACAACTGTAGACAGCTGTACAGGATTTTTTTCATCTTGTTAAAGCAGTGAACACCTGCTCCTCTATACAAAGCCAGGAAAACAAACAAAACATACCAGGTCTAGGAGGTAGGTCAAAATTCTAGCCAAATCCCCACCCTTTCCATGTTACCATTCCAACCTGCTCAGTACTACCATTTGAGGATGCAAATGAAGTTGAAACATGCCTCTGCTCTTTACTTTGTTTGCATTTTTACTATAACGTTATACAAAAGCAGAACTGGATCAAGAGGCATGCAAGACTTTCCCCCCAAATCCATCACAGTACGATCACAGCACAGGACAGCATCCTGGACTCCACAAGAACCATGTCAGATTCTTGAAAAGCAACCCAGTACACTTCTCTTAGCCTTTCAATTTGGTAAAGCCAAATGGAGAGTGATCAAAAAATGGCTTTTCCTACTGTACACAATACCAACAAATCACCATCCTGGCAACAAGTCAAAAAGAAAGCAGTAACTTTCTACAAAGTGTTTCAAATGCAATTTAAATAAACCCACTTACTGAGTGGGCTTTAAGGTTTCCTTGGAAGAAACAGGGTTGCATTGGACAGGAGAATGAGATAACCACACTCTTCATGGGAAGGGCTCAGAGCCAGAATACTGATCTGCATACAGTAAAGAAAAAAAGTAATAGAACCACTATGAGTAAGTAACTCCACAGCACTGACTTTTGAAGTGGGATTCCATTTCAGAGTGACTGGAGTGACAACAACAGTAATTTCGCACAGGTGGGACTACAGTACTTTAGAGGCCTTAGGGATGCTACACAGTATGTGAAACTTTCGATCCCCCACCACAACATGTTATGTTTATAAAAATTGCTTAACTGTTAACTTGAATTTTTTCTAGCCTCATTAAAGCCATTTGCTGACAGGAACCACTACAGACTTCTTTTATTCTGAGAATAATGCACTGAATGCTTTAAAAAAAAAAAAAGAAAGAAAGAAAAAAGAAAAAAAAACCCATAACCAACCAACAACAACAAATGACAACCATTGTATTTTGCCCTTATAAAAAATACATGCTCCCCTTAGTTCCATTAGATTTGCATATATATGAAAACCACTTAAAAGAACAATTCAATAGTCCATTAGTAATTGTTTAAGATTACAAGTCAAAGATCTTAGAAACACTGAGTTCAGTTTAGAACTGGAAGTGCACTCATATCTTACTTGGATACAAACTGAACATAGAACTTTGGGACATAAAAGCCCTATTATTTAAAGGGGCATTCACTGTACTGCATTCCACTGTGTAACAACACATTTCAGTCTGACACACGTAAATTAATCCCCTTCTAATAGGTTACAATATCAACTGCAATTTATCTTTTGTTGTACAGTAACATTTATTCCCCCCAAAGAATGTACATGCAGGCAGCCTCCACTGTGTTTTCTAACTATCAGTTTGAAATAAAATTTCCAAAATGTCCTAATGATGAAAGAGCCAACATTCTGTTTGCAAAACTCATGTAAGCATTTATTGACCAAAGAAAAAAAAATCCAGAAAATTCAGTAGGTTGTAGGATGTAGGTGTTTTTGAAAACATTATCACTGAGCAGTGCTTCATACCTTGACTTTTAGCAGGCATACATGGAAGCAGCCTGTTTCAAAGAGGAAATATGCATCCCAATTAGACATGCTGTTTTAAAGACAAACCTCTGAAACAGAAACTATCATATCTTGAAGTACATTAGATAATATATTATAATGAATAATGGCTGTAAACATCTCCCATGTTTCACATTAATTACTGCTAAGTGTTCCCAAATTTCATCTCCTACCAAATGAATTCTAGGAGTTCAGAAATTCAATATCTGCACATTATAACATATCACATTCAGTTCCAAGAACGTAAGCAACTTCATTCCTTCTCCAGTCCTCTGGGGAAAAAAATAGTCCATATATAATACAAAACATGGTACTTTGTTCCAGAGCCCACAGTTCTGAAACAGAATTGGCTTTCCATTAGGGTACAAAGGTTAAAAAAAGTCACCACATAAACCTCTGGATTTCTACACTATTCGGCCACTGGAATGTTTTGTTTAGGAAAAGATAAAATGTTGCTGCATTCACAACAATGTAAAAAGCCAACTCAACAAGTTGTCTATAAACGGGTGGGAATGGAATATTGAGCCTGTATATTAAGAATGGCAAAATAAAGTAACGGAACTCTAACAGCTTCTGGGGAACTGTGACTGATAATAAACATACAAAATACATTAAGATCCAGAATATCGATTTTGATTTTATTGTATCAACAAAACTCCAGCCAGCAAATATATAGGCTGGAACTAACACATATTTTACAAGCTCATGTCTTTGGAAGATTTTTCTCCAGACATAGAATGTGTAATGTCTATTATCTGCTAGCAAATACTTATGAACATAGGTAAAGTTCCAAATCAAGAACAAAGAGATGGCAGTGATTAGGATGTACTGCACACGGTGCCTTCGCAACGACTGCAGGAATTTCCTGATTTTAGTAGGGGTCAGTAAATGAGGGAAGGAAAAAAAGAGAGTAAAGGACAAAAAATAGAACAGCTGGGGGAAGTGCAAGCAGGCTTCATGGCTACTTCTGTCACCAACAACTATTCCACCATTGACGAAGACAAAAACAAAGAACGCAGTTACTAATACAATGTATGGCCATGTCAAAGCAATCAGTGTAATTAAGTTTTTAGGAGATATGAGATATTCAATAAGAAATCGCGTGATTAAGGTCAGATCGGAAAATGATGTTCTCATGGAAGAGATCCTTTCATCTTTCTTTTTCAGTAGCTCTGTCTTCCAGGCTTCATTTAACTTTTCTGCAACAACATTTCCAGCACAAAAAACTGTCCACACGATATTTGTCTGACGAAACATGAAAGCACAAAATCCAAGCAGAGCTGAAGCTTTATGGTTACCATAAAGGCACATTAAATATGCAAAGAGAGTAAAAAATACCGATCCTGTGTCCGTATAATAAAGAAATGTAAAAAAATAAAGGGTGGGAAATGTTGCAAGAGTTAATGAAGACAAGATTCTCTGGAAACCTGACACAGCCTAGAGAAGAAGCAGAGAAATATGATTAGTGATGTCCAACTAAAAAAACGCATATATTTGTGAGAATTCCATTATGACAATATAGCACCTCTTACACCCTTTGATTCCGTTGTTGTATGACCCCATATGCTACATTTCTGTTAAGCTCCTGCTATGTTAATATAGAATGCTGTACAATACAATGTTAAAAGACAAATAAAAACATCAAACTTTATTGCTGGTGAGATAAATACACGACAAAGAAAATACACCAACTCCTTTTCTACATCGGGGGTTCACATACATGTGACATCAAAATCATGGTGGGACTGTAATTGCTTCCACATCTAGGAGAAAAAATACATTAATGGGAAAAAGAAAAAAAAATTCAGTCCTTTATGCCACTGCAATCTCATTATCACATTCTGTTTGTAAGACAGCAAAACACACCATGCTGTTTTGTCTTTTGAAGCCAGCCCACAAAATGGCCAGCTCAAGTTTCTAATCTTGGGTGCAGCTTTTATTGTTTTTTTCGTTATAATTCACAAGTTTAAAAAAAAAAAAAAAAAAACTTTAAAGAAGATGGGAGATTGTACCGTTTAAAACTTCTGCCAATTATCTCGCTCACTACACAATATGATGCAACTCACAACATTATAAAATGCTGCATGATGTTTCTGAAGGATGTAGTGTTGGATGAAACAGTCACCACCATAAAGAAAAGAGAATAGAGAAAACACTGAGCTCAAAGCAGCAGCAACAACAGAAACACTATTTCTCATGAAAATACTATTATCAAGAAATCTCTTGTTTTCTTACAACTATATTTCAATCTCCAAACATAAAATTAAGTATTCCAAAAATGGAAATAATTTATTGAATTTGACCCAATTTGGTGTCTTACCATGTGCTTAAAAGCACGAGTCTCCTGTAAGAAAATACATTCTTTACAGTAAAGGAATTGGGCAACAGCAAAAATGTTCTTAAGGATAAAAAGTGAAACAAAAGAACTTTCACTAAGGTGAAAGACTTCAACTAGGCGATTAACCACTGAAAAAAATTGTCTACTGCAATGGTGGACGCTTCAACACTTCAAAAATACAAGTGTATTTGTCTTGTATCCTAATTGAACTGTTATGATCTGTAGGGGTGGACAGCTAAATAGGTAAAAATGGGCCATATCAAATCCTACCCAAAGGTAAGAATACTGGAGGCATCTCTACTGGGACCTGTCCTGTTTAACATCTTTCTCAGTGACTTGAAACAACAGAATAAACAGTGCAGTAACACTGACCTGTGGCGACTCAGACAATATACTCAAGGACAGGGCTGCCATTCAGAGTGACCTACACAGACTGGAGAATGAAGCTACAGAAATCTTAAGAAATTCAACAAAAGCAAATGTAAATGTCTGTATCTGGGAAGTAACAACCTCCTGCAATGACACAACCTTGGCATGGAAAAGTTGAGGATCCACTTTAGAACAGGACCCAGGGGTCTCAGGAGGCAGCAAGGTGAAAATGAATCAGCAGTTGTGCCCTGGCACAAAAAAAACAGGAACAGCCTCTTAAGCTACACTGGCAAAAGGGTAGCAGCAGATCAAGGAAAGCAATTATCCCTGTACTCCATATCTGTCAGGCTATGTTTACTATACCACATCCAGATTTGTGTTCCATAATAGGACAAAGGCATTACTGAACTGGAGCAAAGGCAGAAGGCCACCAAGACAGTGAAAGGCTGAAGCACCTGCCCTGGGAAGAGAGGCTGAGGGAGATGGCCTTCCTAAGCCCAGAAAATAGATGGTTTGGGGGGGATTGAACAGCAGCCTACCTATCAGGAAGCTATTAGATAAAGGGAGTTGGGCTCCTCAAACAGTGCTTGGTTGGAGGACAAGAGACAATGGGTATAAACTGAAACTTTTGATTCAAACTGGATGTTAAAAAAAAAAAAAAAAAAAAAAATCACTAGTCTTCTAGCATGAGGCCAGTCAAGCAGTGGAACAGGCAACCCACTGAGGTTGTGCTGTCACTGAGTAACCTGGTCAGATGTTAGGGTTTGCCTGCTTTGAGCTGGAGGTTGGACTATAGACCTCCCAAGACCCCTCCCAACTTGAATTATTCATAGAAAAATACAATATTCCAAGCTGAAAGGGAGCCACAGGGATCACCAACTCATAGCTCCACACAAGACCCCACAAAAATCAAACCATTGCTCTGGGAGTGTTGTCCAAATGTTTCTTAAACTCCAATAGCTTGGGGCCACGCTCACTGCCTTATGCAGCCAGTTCCGTGCCCACCACCCTCTGGTGCAGCCCCAGCTGCCCCTCCCCTGACACAGCTCCATGCCGTTCCCTCGGGCCCTGTCGCTGTCACACACAGCAGAGCTCAGCGCTGCCCTCCGCTCCCTGTGAGGAGCTGCAGCCGCCATCAGGCCTCCCCTCAGCTCCTCTGCTCTGGGCTGAGCAAACGCAGGGACCTCAGCCGCTCCTCATACGTCTTTCCCTCCAGACCCTTCACCAACTTCATATCCCTCCTTTGGACACTCTAATAGATTTAAGTCTCTGATACTGTGGCACCCAAACAGCACCCAGTGCTGGAGGTGAGGCAGAACAGAGCAGGATAATCCCTCCCCTTGCCCTCTGGCACTGCTGGGACCTGCTGCACCCCAGAGTACAGCTGGCCATTTTGGCTGCCAGGGCACACTGCTGGCTCACACTGAACGTGCCATCAGCCAGAACCCCCAGACCCTTTTTCACGGGGCTAGAGTTCTTTTCAAATTGCATTATTTTCCAACTAAATATTGATACTGAATGTAATATCTTTTCTAAAGAACACATTTTGATTCAAACATGGCTTACAGGGCTTCATTTAAGTAGAGCTTTGTGGAGAATCCTAACCAATTAAATTAGTTATTATCCTTTGGACAAGTTCACATGCAAATTATTTTATTTCATAGAATTTCATAGAATCGTTTGACTTGAAACAGACCTTTAAAGGTCATCTACTCTGATTCCCTTCAACAAACAGGGACATGTACAGCTAGATCTGGGTGGTCCAGCCTGACCTTCAATGTCTCCAGGGAAGGGGCATCCAGCACATCCCTGGGCAACCTGTTCCAGTGCTTTACTACCCTTTTTATAAAAAAAATGCTTTCCTTATATCCGATGAAAATCTCCCCTCTTTCAGTCTGAAACTATTTCCCCATGTCCCATTGCAACAGACCCTGGTAAAGAGTATGTCCCCCTCCTTCTTACAGCACCCCTTCAGATACTGAAAGGCTGCTATCAGCCTTCTCTTCTCCAGTCTGAACAGCCCCAGCTCTCCACCTGTTCTCATAGGGGAGGTGTTCCATCCCTTGGATCATTTTTGTGGCCCTCCACCAGATGTGCACCAATGGGTCCACATCTCTCCAGTACTGAGGACTTTACATCTGGACGCAGTACTCCAGGTGAGTTCCCACCAGCGTAGAGGGACAGGATCAACTCCCTTAACCTGAGGCCATGTTTCATTGGGACTACTTATCAATACACACATTTTCAGAGGATCAAACTCTGACAGAGAAAAAATATGGTTTTCCTTTTTTTTACAGAAAAGGCACGTGCCTCCTTGGTGAAACTGACAGTAATACCTGCAATTATATGAAACAAACAGTAGCTCAAAGAAGTAAACACACACAGTCAAGGAATTGTTTGTACCGGTACATAAAACAACCCTACTTTGTACCTTATTTTTCTGATGGATCTTCAGCAGAAGCAAGTACAGCAGGTAGAAGTTGCCAGCGCTGATGAGGAGGTTGATGAACCTGAGCATGCCGGTGGAACACACCATGCTGCCCGTCCAGCCAAAGAGCCAGGCTGCTGGCTTCACCACGCCAACCGACAGCAGGTACAGACCCGGGGGGGTGGTGATCATGGGATCCCACTGCAGAATGGGGGACAAGGGTCAGAGGGCTGCTGTCACACCAAAACTGCACCACAGATGGTGCAGCAGGGTTTGGGTATGCAATTCCAACCTCTGCTCTGCTTTGTTTATCACAGAATTGTAGAGGCTGGAAGGGATCTGTAGAGATCATCGAGTCCAACCTCCTACTAGAACAGGTTCCCTATGGCAGGTCACACATGTAGGCGTCCAGATGGGTCTTGCCGATCTCCTGAGAAGGAGACTCCACAACCTCTCTGGGCAGCCTGTTCCAGTGTTCCCTCAATCTGACAGTAAAGAATGCCTTCCACGTGTCAGTACGGAACTTTCTCTGTTCCAGTTTGTGCCCGTTTCCCCTTGTTCTACTGTTGCTTGAAACCAAAGAGCGTGCCCCCAACCTGGCTCCCGTCCTGTAGGTACTTATAAACACTAATGAGATCCCCTCTCAGCCCTCTCTTCTCCCGGCTGAACAGCCCCAGGTCTCTCATCGTAAGGGAGATGCTCCAGGCCCCCAGTCATCTTTGTGACCCCCGGCTGGATTCCCTCCAGCAGTTCCCTGTCTTTCTTGCATTGGGGAACCCAGAACCGGACACAATATTCCAACAGTGGCCTCACCAAGGTAGTGCAGAGGGGGAGGATCGCCTCGCTCGTTAGCCTGGATGCCTAATGCATCGCAGTCATTAGCAGCCAGGCAGGGCACGGCGATGACCGCCCTTCCGCGCGACTGCAGCTCCCCGCTCCCTCCCGCAGCCATCACCCATCCCGAGCGCACCGAGCCGACAGCCGCAGCCACAGCCGCCGCCCGGAGGCGCCCCTAAGAAAGCGGCCCCGAGGGCCGGGCCCACCTGCAGGAAGCGGCCCTGGCAGTAGGCCTGCGCCTGCGGGACGTGGAAAACCTCGTCCATGTAGGGCTCCCGCAGGCGGCGGTTGACGGCGGCGAAGAGCAGCGACGAGAGCAGGAAGGCGCCGCTCATGGCGGCCGAGAAGCCGTACGCCTCCACCCCCTCCATGCTGCCGCCGGGAAGCGGCCGCGCGTCCGGGAGGGCCGCGAGCGGGCAGCGCCGAGACCGGCAGGGGAGGGGCGAGGAGGGCAGGAGGAGCGGCCGCAAGGCGGGGCGGCCCGCGCGCTGTCGCGCCGCTCGGCCCGGCCGCCGCCGGAGATCGCGTGGAGCGGACGGGAGCGTTACTGCAACGCTGTTTCGTACGAGAGCGCGGTAGCGCCGCTCCGTGCGCCCGGCCGCCCCGCCCGCGCCGCGGGATGCACCTCACGCACCCGCTGGAACTGTTCCCCGAGCGCCGCGTCACGCTGCTCCTCTTCAAGAGCGTGCGGAACGCCGCCGCGCTGCGGAAGAAGGCCGTGGAGGGATCCATCGAAGGAGCGCTGATAAACCCTGCCATGGTGAGCGGGCGCTTTGCTGTCCTGCCGCGCTGCGGTACGGCCCTGCAGGCCGCGGGCCGGGCGGGCGCCGTTGGCTGCCTTGGGCGCGGGCACCTCCGTGCCGATCCGTGCGTGATCGGCCGGAAGTTTCTTTTCTGCTTCTTTAATCTCCTAACTGCTGTGTGAACTAACGCCTTTTTGTTAGCAGAGGCAGCTGTGCGGGAGGGGGAAGAAAAAGATTTGAATCTGGTAATTTGCTGACAGGCTTAGTAGTGACTCCAGAGTGTAATCTCTGTTTTAAATACGATACTGTCACCTTGGTGCTGTGTTCAGCTGTGGGATTCTCACTACAAGAAAGATGTGGAGGCCCTGCACTGCGTCCAGAGAAGGGCAGCAGAGCTGTGAGCGGTGCGGAGCACAGCTGTGATGGCAGCGGCTGAGGGAGCTGGGATGGGTCAGTCAGGAGAAGAGGAGGCTCGGGGAGCCTTACTGCTCTGTGCAGCTGCCTGAAAGGAGGCTGTGGTGAGGTGGGGGTCGGCCTCTGCTCCCATGTAACAGAGATAGGGCGGGAGGGAATGGCCTCAAGTTGTGCCAGGGGAGGTTCAGGTTGGATATTAGGAAGAGTGGTGAGGCAGTGGCAAAGGCTGCCCAGCGAGGTGATGGAGTCACTGTCCTGGAGGTGTTCAGTAACCATGGAGATTTGGCACTGAGGGACGTGTGTTAGTGGGCATGGTAAGGATGCAAGAACAGTTGGACTAGACGATCTTAGCAGTCTTTTCCAACCTTTATGATTCTATGATTGTCCCTCTCAGCAAATAGAATCACAGAATGGCCAGAGTTGGAAGGGACCTCAAGGATCATGAATCTCCAACCCCCCTGCCACATGTAGGGCCACCAACCTCCTCATTCAACACTAGACCAGGCTGCCCAGGGCCCCATCCAATCTGGCCTTGAACACCTCCATGAACAGGGCATCCACAGCCTCTCTGGGCAGCCTGTTCCAGCACCTCACCTCTACCTCTGTAAAGAATTTCCTCCTGACGTCCAACCTAAATCTCCCCTCCCTCAACTTAAAACCATTTCCCCTTGTCCTGCTGTTATCAACCCTTTCAGAGAGTTGATTCACCTCCTGTTTGTAGGCTCCCTTTAGGTATTGAAAGGCTGCAATGAGTCAAGTAATCCATTGACTTTGAAATAACAAGATCTGCTAAGTTGTACTGCTCGCTTTTATGATTACAGACTTAGGCTATCTAAATAAGTTGGTCAGAATTTTGTCCAGAGTCCAAAATACTATGCTGAATTTCTGTTTAACTTTGGTTGTATTTTGCAGATCGTAGATCCTTTTCAAGTTCTTGTGGCAGCCAACAAAGCGGTTCATCTACACAAGATAGGTAAAATGAAGACCAGAACTCTCAATGCAGAAATTATCTTCAACCTTTCACCAAACAACAATGTAAGATACACTCTTCAAATGTCATTTTTGTCAGAAAAACTTGCTAATAGCCTTGCAGCCAGATAAATGTAGATATCCACTTAATGTAGCAAACAAATAGAGGTTACTGTTATTTTTAATAACATTAACATGCTGATGTCTCTTGTTGGTTTTCAGAATTCCATTAAGATAAAATGCGTTAATTTATTATTTTGGTTTATTTGATCCAGTAACTGAAAAGATGTAGCAAGAACATGATTATTTTGATGTAATAAGTGTAATATTTTGATGTTTTTAATCTTTTCCTAGATTTCAGATGCATTTAAAAAGTTTGGCATTTCAGACAGTGACACAGCAGTACTCATTGTTCTGGTTGTAGACAGAGAAAAAACAGTAAATCTGGAAGATATAGCATCTCAAGTAGAAGGCCAACAGGTTTCTCTAGATGAGCTTCCCCAGCTAACAGACATTGCCAAAGTTAAAAAGGTATGCAACCAAAAGAGATGGCTGGGTTTAATAAAAGGAATAACATATGTAATTGTCTGATAGCATATCTCAATTTTCACACGGGGTTTTTATTTCTTTAGCATGACTGTAAACTTCATTTACGTGAAACTTGATTTTTTTTTTTTTTTTTAATTTTTGTTACTCTGGAAAAAAGTTTCAGGCATCACACACTGACATCACAAATTTTAAATCATCAAATTCTTTAAGATAGTCAGGAAGTTGGACCATAAAAATGAATTCCAGATTGGTGCCCACCATACAGTCACTTTTGCTTCCTGTTTTCTCAGACAAATATGTATATAATTGAAAACAAATTTTCAGTCCTAAGGAATTTCATAATCTTAAACACTCAAATAGTTTCAGTGTGGGTGGCTAAATAAAAATGTGTTGATTAGCTGCTAGGAGTTCTGTTAGGGCTTGTGCGCTCTTAACAGATTGCCATATGCTAAAAAGGTGTCTTGAAGAATATGTGTTTGAGGAATATTCTTGAAAAATATCCAGGCCACATATATAATTCAAGTAGTTTAAATCTTCTTGATTACCTCAATGAAAGTAATGGTGGGTGAGAGCAGCAAAATTGGACCAGTCATAGCATATCTTAAGAGTACTGTTCTCATTCAGTTTCTTTGCTTTCTCTTGTTTCTTGCAGTTTCAGAATTTGCTTAGTTTCTCACTCCCAAATTTATCTAGCCTGCAATACAAGATTGTAATGTAAAAAGTGGGAAATCTTTTTTTGTGTGCATGTTTTTTGAATGTGTGCAGTCCATTTTTTTCCTTACACAGCTTTTGTTTTTATTGTTCTTTTTTTTCCTGCAGATATACAAGATTACTCCTCAGGAAGAAAAAATTGGCACCTTATTAGATGGTATTGTTTGCAGGATCTCAACAAAAGATGTTTAATGAAAATGTGGAAATAAATTTTTTTTTTGGAAGTAAAAAGAGGTCTTTTTAAGATATAAAAACACTGCAATTTATGCTGCATCTCAAAGAATGTCGTGTGGTAATGAGTTGTTTGGTGATATCTAAACTTTAACCAGAAATGGGGGAGCTTTGATGTAGCTGTATTCTAAGCTGTATTCTAAGCACAGAGAGCAGTTGGGCTGCGCTAAGCAGAATTTGCCATAGCCATTTCAGTCCATTTTCCAAACAAGAAGAACAAAGTTTTGCCAGATCATTAAGCTGATCATAAATAGAAGGCTCAGAAATCTGTATTTATTCTACTCTTTCAGCAAATGTTTTATTATCGCCAGGTAACAAAATTACAAAAATTGTAAATAATTCTTTTATTAATCCTACCTTTGATTTGGGTCTCCAGCAGATGATATCAGTTTAACAATTCTGCTGCTAGACTTTTCTTTCTCTGTGGTATGAAGTATTGTGGATGGGTGAGAAAAAAGAAAAGTTTTTATGAACTATCTGTAGTGCCTTTATCTGGAGAAAGGAATGGGATGGTACACCATGGCACCCACTGCTGGGTGCAGTGTAGAACAGCAGCTTTAGAGATGTGCAGAACAGTGAATAAGATCAGCATGAGTGGTGTTGTCACCTGACAATCTGATGTCATCAGATGCAATATAGTGCTGAGGTACCAATGTACTGCCTATTACTTTAGAATTGGAGTTAAAGTATAATGAGAGGTTATTTTATTGCATAACACTGAATTATGTACAATGGTGCAAATTTTTTAGGGCTTGGTTCCAGGTGCAGAATTCACAGAGAACTGGAGAATAGGTTTACTCACTTTAAATTTTAGATGTAATTCACATAGCATTCTGAAAGCAGCATTGAACAAATTGCTTTGCTGCAGAGGGGGTACCAGGGCAATGACAAGGTTTATCATAAGAAAAGATTCAAGAGAGGTGTCTGTGCTGATTTCTTGGTATAAAGATGGTTTTACAGAATGTGTTGTCCTCTTGAAAGGAAAATGTGAGGAAGTAGTATGAGATGGAGCTTGGAGGGCCTTGAGTCTTTTGAAATAAAATGTGTAACACCTGCGTGAGAGGATGACTATGTAAAATAAAAGATGTGTTTTCATTTTCTGACAGTGCACTCAGTATATGGAATATATCATCAGATTTGCTGTCTCTACTGCTGACATTGTTTGTGGTAGTTTAAAATAACAGCAGACAGGTATGCTTAAACCACAGCCTTTTTTGAACATGTGTAGATCATTGGTCCACTCTGTTGAATATAAAGAAATATTAATGAAGAGATCACTGTGTAACAATTGATAAACACATTCCAAGCTGGAGTTCTCAGCTTCTAATTCTTATGAGTCTATTTAATTGTTGTAGAACTGATAACTAGTTTGTTACTATTGTCATGTGTTCCAAGTTAAATTAGGAAAGTGATTTACTATGAGAGCTGTTTTCCTGAGTCAACTTGCTGGGAATTTTATAGCTTAAAATCTTATTTGATGGTACATCTAAGCCAGTCTGAGAACTGTCTCTTGTTAAAGACTGTTATTTCCCCTCTGGTATTCATTCCGACACTTTTCCTTTTGTTTGTTCCAGCATGCATTCAACTAGCTAAGTCAATTCATTTTGCAAAATAGCAATCCAAAAAAGAAGTGGGAAGCTTTTTGCCACGTTAGCATGATAAATCAGGAGAGCCAGATCAGGAGCAGTGAAGAGATATGTCTAGAGATATGGAAAACACCCCCAGTGCCCCAGTGTTTCCTTAACTGCATCCAACTCTGCTCTTTTTGTAGGAAAAAGTGAGGG